GCGCATGCCCCTAATTAGAACGGTACTTTTTTATTATCATGTTTCGACTTTAATATCTCGATGAAAAAATAAGCAAATGAGCTGAAATTTTACAACTCAGTAGAAAAAATATTTTTCTATCTATTGATGAAAAAAAATTCTAAAAATGTTGAAAAATGACCAGATTATAAGCGGTAGAATGAACTTGACTGGCATCGTTCTATTTAAGTGCAATGTCCCCAATAAGAACGCTAATGTAAAATTTGCCCCAAATTAGAACGATCCAGCAGAAATACATAGAAAAATGGGCATAATGAGAAAAACGTGTAATATCTGCTTATAACTTCAAAATTAAGTCACGTGTTCGCTAGAAAAGTTATTCCTTATATTTTTCTCTATCTGTCTACAAAGGTTCAGCCTGATATCTTTTTCTCTTGTTTAGATATACGCTTATCTAGCTTCGTTGATTAGATGTAAAAACGTTCTAAATAAGTGCACTGCACATAATTAGAACGGTAATGTAAAAGTTGCCCCAAATTAGAACGGGCCTATGTAAAATACATGGAAGTTAGATAATTTTACGTAATTTCGCCTAAATATGCTACCGGATTTCAAAATTAGCCTATTATTCTGGAACAAAAGTTGTTCACCTGAATTTTCTCTACAATATATCAGCGGTTTAACTATATCTGGCAAAGTTTTATTTTCTTTTTTGATCAATTTTAAAACAAGGGTTTGCATTGAATAATGTTCAAAAGATAGTTGATTTCACAAAAAGAAAAATATGTGAAGAAAACGATCGTTTCATTTTTACATGTGGCTAAATCTTTTTATTTTTATGTGAAGGGTAGATAATGAGATTTTTCTGATAGAAAGTTACACAAAAAATAGAGTTTTGTACAAAAACAATAGTTAGAAAACTAAATAGAATTAAGTAAGTAATAAAATACATAGAATGAGGCTATAAAAAATACAAATGAAAACTGATAGTTGTCAGTAAAAATGAAGGTTTACTTGAAGATGTCTATGAAAGAGTTAATAATATGGAAGAATTTAGCTTTTTTTACAAATTACGATGATGAGTTGACGTTGTTTGTGGAAGTTGAATTCTAAAATTATTCAAATAGGAGATTCGTTGATTATAAGAAACAGTCATGCTCTTACTTGATTTTTTTTCGTTTTTTTGGTGGCTGTTTGACCTTAGCATCTTTAGTTGCTTTTTTATCTTTCAATTCTTGAAGAAGACTTTCAGCAGTAATTTCTTCACCGTATCGACGTTCTAATCGAACTCGCTTGCTGGTTACTGGTGGTGGAGGCGGCTGCATTTCTTGTAGACAACTAGTTACTATTGATCTAACCGCAGTCGTTGGACTAAATGGTGATGCTTCAATGGGTACTGTTGTAAGTTCACAAAAAGTTTTTCCTTCACTAAATCTATTTTGAAATCTTTTTTTTTCTTTTCTGCGTATGCAAAACTCACTCTTCAATATCATCGACTGGTAAAATTATTTGAGCAGTAATATGAGTTGACCATACACCATCAGTATCTAACCAATCTCTAAAAAATAAAAAATGTTCACTTACTATTCTGTATGACTTCCATTACATACTGATTTTCGTCTTTGTTGATCAATTCAGTAGTTGTTAATGGACAAGTAATCAGAGAAGATGCATAATCTAAATATATAAATCTATAAGAATATTCAAACCATGACACAAACAGTTTACTTGAAGAATTGAATGCCATAGTTTCTGTTGAACAAGATGTAAGCCTAAAAATATCGAAATGATCCATAATTCCTCAAAAGTACCGATCTTTAAGAAATGAACCAACTGTTAAATAAGAATACTTTAGTTCAATAACTAATTGAGATTACTATATATAGTCTCGCTCGAACAACTGCAAATAGAAAAGAAGAATACCATGTTTAACGATTAACTTGTGTAGCATCATTAGAAGACAGGATTTAATCCAACATTCCACAAACCCGATCAGACTATTTAATGATAATAGTGAACAGAGAATAAAACTCACGTGGGCACGAAGTTTATTAATGATTGATCAGGAGCTATTGTTGAATTTTTAATTATTGCAATGTTTGAAATGGACTCTTGTTCAGCATCTGTTTGGATCATTGCACTAAGTATTAGAAATGAGTATAATTCATATATTAGTAAAGGACATTTTATTTACTTCATAGAATTTTCACTTTGTAAAATGCTGTTATTAGCTGATGCATCAATTGAGTGTTGAACAACTGTGGTTGATGAAAAATTATTTGATAATGTTTCATTGGAACTAAAAATGACTAATTAATTAAATTGACTACTACGTACTTCAAACTATACTTTGTTGATAGAGCAGCCGAAAGTGAAGATCGATCACATTGTTTTGCTACTTTCTCCTTCATTACTTCACCATCGAAAGGCCACAAGCCACATCTAGCAAAGTCAGATACGCATTGTTGCTTTGTAAATGCTTCATCCATTAAACGTTTAAAAAGACTGGGCATGTCGATTTTCCTTATGGTTTTTCGATTGGTTTTACAAAAATACTTGGAGACAATTTTCTTCCAAACAGTTTTCGCTGAGCTATTGGAAAATGAAGGTTTATTTGATACTAACTAACTGTTTAAAAATTCGACCATACCTTAATGTTACCACGTCTAAAGGTTGTAAGGCGTGTGTGCAATGTGGGGGCAAACACAATAGAATTACTTGATTTTTTATAGCTAACTCGATTACATCAATATTAATATGTGCTGGATGATTATCCATAACTAGTAATAATGGTCGTTCAATGTTTTTTGTTTGTTCCAGAAAAAGATTTTTAAACCAATCTGTAAATATTTCTTCTGATATCCAACCTGATTCAGAACATTTATAAGTTGTACCCGGAACACCACCAGCACACCAAAGTGTGTTTACAGCCTTGGCGGCATAGACCACCAGAGGCGGGAGAACATCACCACTTGCACTTGTACATAATAGTATGGTTGTAAATGCTTTACCAGTCCCTCCTTGCTGTTCGAAAACAAACTTTTTGTCAGCCGGAACGCAAACGTACTTGCCTGTAGAAAAACCAGAAATTTAAGTATTAAAAAGAAAGAAAACTTACATTGTGTCTCGTCTGAGAAACCCGACTCGCCACAGTTTCAAATCTGTCCAGGCCGAGCATGTAAATTGTTTAAATCAAGAATACCTTTTAATTTACTGAACCAATTTGAACGAACTTCTTCTGTAAAATTATCACGACGAGATCTCTCTAATTTCAATTCTTTCTTCATTTTTAATTTATCGGAATTTCGTTTGAAAAAATTTTGAAACCAATGTCGACCTGGGTTGTCGATATATAAATATATGTTTATGCAAAAATAGCATTATCATAAGTACAAAAACTGCACTTACTGACATCTTTATTACTTTTCTTTATCATTCGTATGAAATCACCTGTAATTTTTGCTAGAATTTCTCGTGTAAGCCGAACACCAATAGATTGAAGCTCCTGTAATAAAGCCACCAAATATTGCTCTTGATCCACACTTAAAACACTTGGTCGACCTGATCCTACACGATTAGATCTATTATCTTTATGTTTTCTAATCGTGCTTTCTGGAACACCAAATTTCTTTGATGCTTCTATAGATGTCATAGTTTTATTTCGATAAGCAGTAACAGCATTACAAAAGGCATCTAAGCTATACGTCACTCGACGTCTTTTGGTCATCTCGACTGTAAAGAAATAAAGTAATTGAAAAGAAAAATCTTTAAACTATTCACTCTCGACTAAACAAATCTATATATATATAAAGAAGAATGTCTGTTTGTGTGTTTGTGTGTTTGTTTGTTCTTCATGCATTTGGACACGGTACGAGCAAATGCTATGAAACTTTCCAGAAATGGTCTTTACACCTAGGAGAAGGTCGACATGTATTTTTTTCCGAAAAAAAACGAATCCTACACATGCTACAGGCGATCTATGAAACCGACCAATAGGGTTGCAACATTCGGTACTATAGAACTATAACTGAGTTCCACTTCATGAACACACAGGAAACATGGAACTAGAGGTTTTCGAGGGCGCTGAGTTCGAATCTGGGATAGATTTCCCTCCAAATCTAATTGGTTGTTTGGAAACCAATAGGAATTTAGCTCTTAAAAAAATAGAGCCAAACACATATACTTTGAAGGAAATGATGGGACACAGGGTTTTTTGAGGCGATGAGTTCGAATCTGAAGCCCATTCGCCTCGAAATCTGATTGGTTGTTTGGAAACCAATAGGAATTCAGCTCTCAGGAAAACAGACCCAAATTTTCATACTTGGAAGGAAATCATGAGGCGCAGGGTTTTCGAGGACGGTGAGTTCGAATCTGGGGTCCATTTGGCTCTAAATCTGATTGGTTGGCCGAAAACCAATAGGAATTTAGCTCTTGAGAAAACGGGCCAAAACTCTTATACCTCCAAGAAAATGATGGGGCACGGGGATGTAGAGATTGTGAGCTCAACTCTGAGGTCCATTTGTCTCGAAACCTGAGTGGTTGTTTGGAAACTAATAGGACTTCAGTACTTAAGAAAATAGACCAGAACACTTATACTTTGAAGGAATTGATGGATCAGGGGGTTTTTCGAAATGGTGAGTTCGAATGTGAGGTCTATTTGCCTTGAAATCTAATGAGTTGTTTGGAAACCAATAGGAATTGGGCTACTAAGAAACCTAGCTAATCAATCTTTGGTCGTTAGGAGAAAAGTCAGGTAGGGACTTTAGAGGCAATGAGTTCGATTCAAGGATCTAAGCACTGAATGTGGGTATAGGGTATGGAAGCGAGTGTCTTCTTCTGTTTTTATAAATAACAATGTTTGTCTGTCTGCTGTTTGTACATTTGATTTCCTTAATAACTAGCGCCATCAAAATTTCCATGATATACTCTTTAGTGGAGAGAAAAATTGAGAGTAGATTGGCGCGACAGGCAAGGAAAGGAAGGTAATCGAATGTGATGTCACCCAGGTTGTGAAAATTGGAAATTCTCTAATCTCTATCTCTAATGTACGATAAGAAAAATAATGTTGACAGGCTGCCCAAAGAGTGAGCATGTATTCGTACCATGAATATTCATGGTTCTTACAGATATACCGTTTGAATTCAAGCGTCTTCAATTTGCTGCATGTCTTTCCTTCGCGATGTCTATCGACAAGGCTCAAGAGTAATTACTTAAGGTGGTTGGCATTAATCTAGAGAGCCCTTGCCTTTTTCATGGCCAACTTAACGTAGCATGCTGAGGAGTTGGAACTGGGAAGAGTTTGTTTATTTTGGCCCCTGTTGCGAAAATCGAGAAGGTTCTGTATCAAAAAGCGTTGCAATCGAAGTTGTATTTCTGTAAACGGTCTTTTGTAATAAAAGAAGTCGATCAAACAAAAAGAACACTGAAAAGGATAGAATTTTTTTTTAAATTAAAAATGGGGAAAACATCAGTTGAAAAGGGAAAGTGATCTGAACATATTTTGCGATATCGAATTCCAATAATTAATAGGACATCATGGTGACGTCTTTTTCTAATATGTCAAGTATATATTATAAAATTATCATGACTACCATCGGGTATCTCCGCTAGTTATCTACTACAATTGGTATATAACCAGCTGTAACCAATTCAATAACACAATGACTACCAATAAAACCAACACCACCTGGTACAAGCACGTATTGTTTCTTGTGTTCACCTTCAAAGAAGTCAAAAGTCTTTACGGTTCTATAACTTATCTTTTCATATAGACGGATAGTAAAATCAAAGCTCTACATTTCTACACTATTTAATTATTATTCATCTAATATTATAAGAATAAAACTTCTATTAGACTTGTTTAGCTATTATATGTAACAATAACATTAGTCAATATTGACTTCAATATAGGTGTGGGTGTGGTTGAGTGTAAGTATGGGCGTGGCTATGCGTTACGCCCACATCCACACCCTAAATCGAAATTTCAGTTCTCGATTAGAGGAGAGCCTGCTGCTGGTGAAGGGGTCAGTTCACTACTTTTAACATTCAGAGGATGAAAAATTACACTATTCAATCTTTAACTGTACAGATCCGAAACAAAAACGATGTCTTTAGTACATTTGATACAATTTAAACTTCATATTCGAGTTCTATTCTTTTTTTGTTTTTCATTACTAGATAGAAAACTTTCTCATAATTTACTATTTATCAATTCACTTACCAGTTGCAGCTATCATTATTTCACTTGTTATTTTACCAGAATAATCTAAAACTAATTATACAGATAACTAGTTGATTATTGCAAATAATTCTTTATTTTTCATGCGCGAAGTATGGTGAATAGTGATTGAATTGTTTTATTATTTTTTTAAAGCTTAAGTAATACAAGAAAAAAAAAGGAATGCGGTGAACTCCGTTTATAAGCATAATTTTAGCATACACGTTACAAATTAACCTAAATAAATACGGTAAACAACAAGAAAATGAATATTACTGGGTCTTTCTTATTTCTCACCCAATAAATCAAGCAAAAACAAAAAATACTACTACATATAGCAGCCGTTCTCACCTTTTCAAAAAAAACTGAAACCATGGATCTTCTCTTTTATAAAGAACCATAAAAACTTAAGGAATTTGAAATGTCTATAAGAAAGAAAGAGAAAAAAGCCTCAAATGAAAGCGCAGAAGAAAAAAAAGTGTTAAAATATTAATAGTCAAAAAGAAAAAAAAAATTCGACTACGAAAACAAGAACAGAAAACAAAAACATTTTCATTAAACATTTGCAGTAAGCGTTCCAGAATCACGTCGAGCTTGATTAAGAACATTAAAATTAACATTAAATAAAATCAAACAACCTGTAGAAAAACCTGCCATGATATATCTAAATCAAACAAAAATAAATAAATAAATATATATATATTTAGTTCTTAGAAGTATAGAAATCGGATTCTAGCATTGACATGAAAGTGGATCAATCAACGACAAGAAAAGAAAAAGAGCTCTTTAATTATCAAAAATCCATAATAATTGGCATTTTCTGAATAAGAAAACTCGATCTAATGGACTTATTTTTACTTTTGATCATGAGTTATTGCTAATGAACGAATACTAGCATCACATTGGAGATAAGCATAAACAGGTTGTAAATCATGTGTTCGAATGATTTGTACAAAACCTCGATCACTATCAATAACTGTATATTGACTATCAATATTTAAAACCATACACTAGACAAAAAAAATTAACAAAAAATAATAAAATAATTATTCATATATATATATTTTTTTTTTGTTGTTGTACTTGAATTGTTTCATCTTCAAATATTGCTTGTCTCATTAATTTTCCATTTAATGTATATAAACATAATTTTGAACGATCATAACAAACAATAATATCACCATCATTGGATGATGATAATAGACGTGGTGTAGATATTTTTGATGGATTTTCAAATGAATGTAATATATCACTATTAAGTATATGTTGAAGTACAAGACTTTGTTCACTATCACTTAAAACAATACCAAGTTCAGCTGATATCCATAAACATGTTATTTCTCTATCATGACCAGTTAAAATTGCTGCTGGTGATGGATTGATTTCTCCACAAATAAACAAAATCATAATTTTATTGATTTTTTTTTTAATTTTGTTTTGAAAATTTAATTATTACTTTGATTTGGATATTCACGATCAACTATTGCACCTTTTATTCCATTCCATATCCAAATACAAACTGTACAAACACATGAACCAGTTGCAAGAAAATAATTTCCAGCTATAGTTACTTTCGAACGACACATACATGTAATTATATCAAAATGACCACAGAGTACTTGTGTAATTTCTGCCATATCAGTATTTTGTACACGATAAACTTTTATTCCAATAACCAGTTGATATTATATAACGATTATTACCAGTAACAACAAAACTTTGATGTCGTTGTTGAATACGTTCATCGAAATTATCACCCAAATGACGACGATTTAAGTTTATATTCGATACTAAATAAAAGAAGATATTCTTATTGTTATTTACCCGGATCAATGATTTCGGTAGGTACACCATTAAACTGGGTATCTATGAAATTTAACAACTTTTGAAAAGAAAAAAAAGTCTTCTGTTAAGATTGAATCTACACCAATGTACAATGCCTCATAACTATAATACGAGTTACTATACCTAAAACTGAATCCATGCTTAATGGTAATTGTGTTTGTTGATGTGCTAGTGTTTGTGATGATTCGGGATAATTTGTTGTTGGTGTACCAGAATTTGGATGATATTTATTTATAGAAAAATCATATTTATTATTTATTGTAACAACAGCTTGTACTGAAAATGTTGAACTTGTATTAGCTGAAACATGAATAATTGGAGCATTTAATGAAAATTTCATTATCATTGATACATCTTCTGGTATACTAAAATCGAATTTTTGTTTTTTTTTTTTTCGTTGAAAAAACAAAACTACTTACACATTATACATCATTGGAGTCTAGAATAGAAAACAAAAAAAAATGATTTTTGTTTTCTTCTTACTAAATTCATTGCTGAATTTCTTGTTGGATGTGATTCAGTTAAAAATTGTGCTGGTGCTTGACCAAAATTTCTTATTTGTGTTTCAATAGCAGTATGATCTGTTGGATTTGTTATTGAATCAAGATTAACAGCACGAACAGCTTCAGGTCCTAAAAAAAAAAAGAAATATCAAATATTTAAATAATATAAAAATTGTTATTAATCTTCTATAAATCAACCTCTTTGTTTATAACCAAAAATTAAATCAATCCAATAATGTAAATGACATGAAACAAATTCAGATTCTAATGCCTAATGATTACAATTTGTTAACATTTCATGTAGAGAAAAAAATTCAGAAATTAATTCTTTAACATCAGATGAATCACGTTGACAATTTTGCCATGATAATGGTATTGAATGAAATAATCGATTAACATGATCAAATTGTCCTTCTTGTAAACTTAAATAAAATGTTGTGAATGGTTCCTGAAAAAAAAAATTCAGTAATATTATTGAATTTATTAAATATAATTATATTCGAACTAACAAGTCGAATAAGCCAACCAAGTGTAAATACAGCTATTGAATAACGTGTATCATAATGAAATGGCGGCATTATATCCGATTCCCAATTATTATAACGTTCAATAAAAAAATGATTTTCTTGTAGGATTTAATGCACCAACAAGCTAAAAACAAGAAAAAATTAAGAATAAATGAAAAACAAAATAATCGAAATTATACTTTTGATAAATCTCGATAAGTTGATGGAGAATTTAAAACAAGTTTTTCACTTTCATAATCAGCTATAACCCATGGAAATATTGGATATTGATTTTAATCTTGATATATTCGACCTAAATAAAAGCAATTTATTTTTTTTTTAATAAATTTATATACAATCTTTGTTTGTTCAATTATACCTGCAATCGTATTATAAGATACATAAGATATTCAAAATTTGAAATTTCTCGTCTTTGCCATCGTTGTGTCATATTTGCTGAACGAAATAATTGTTTTGATGATGCTAATGATGTTCGTCTAAATACGATTCAAAATAACATGAATATATATGTATATAAAATAATGAATAAGATAATTTACTAACCGTTGTTGTGGTAAACCATTACGACCACCAACACCAACTTGAGGTAAAAAGCTTACAACTTTTTTTACAATTGAATGATCATTAAATGCAAACATAACACTTGCTAAAATACAAATTTGAAAAAGTACATTAATAAAGAAAACAAAACTATAGATCAAAATAATAATTCAATCTTGCAGGTAAATATCTCTTAGATTATTTTTCGATTTGAAAACTTTATATAGAAAACAGATCTTAATACGAAGAGTATAGCAATAAGCGAAAGGTTTTTTTAGTTTTTTGCAATAAAATTACATAGCGAAACAAAAATATCTGATTTACTATATTTCTGATTACCAAAATTGATATGCTTGAATAAATTTCGGGGTTCTAATCTAATGTTATAATTGAATCATTCAAAAACAAAAAAAAATTCTATTTATTATAGAATATTGAATATAAGAATGGATCAATTCTTGCTCGAATGAAAATGATGTTATTATTTATTAAATTTAATACCCTAAAGTATAACTTTATAAAAAAAAATAAGAAAAATTATCTATTTAATTTCATACTTCTATTCGAAACAAATATTTCTAATGCTTTATCTTGTAAAAGATATCTTCTTGAATAT